ATTATTATTATTATTATTATTATTATTATCTGATAATGTACTTGAACGTATTGGACTAAAAAATTGTATATCAAGATGATATAATTTAATTTTTAAACGTATAATTGGTTTTGTTTTTGTTTTTGACCAATAACGAAAAACTAAACAACCATCTTTAATAAATATAAAATAACTTCCTGTTGTATAATGTAAATTTCTAAATATAATTGCACCTGATATAAATGATATTGAAAATGAATCAAATTTAATTTGTGTTGAATCTTTTAAAAAAAATCGTCGTAATATATATGATAATATAATACCTTGTATACGTGAATGATATAATATAAGATAAATTATCCATATTATTGTTAATAAATAAACAATAACAAGTAATGGAATTTGTTCACGATGTGAATCAAAATAATCAAAAATTTCATTTGATATAACTTCTAATGTTGATGGTGTTGTTGGATTTAATATAGAATCCGATGAATTAAATGATTCATTAAAATTTATTGAAAATGTTGTTGTTCGTGTAAATTTTTCCATTGTTTTTTTTTTATTTAAATTAATTTTATTGATATGTTTAACATATGGAATATCTCTATTGAAAAGATTGAATTAAATCGAAAATTTAGCTAACTTTTTTTTATTCAATAATAAGGAAATCAACCAAAAACAACTAAATGTGAATGATTTGATTGACATAATATTTTTAAATGGTGAATTATATTAACCAATTCAATGTTAGTAGAGAGCGAACTCTACCGACAGATTAATGAGAAAAGCTGAAAACAGAATGATAAGAGAGAGCGGTTATAATTAAAGTCAAAATAAAAAGAAAACTTATTTTTTTAATAATAGTATCAATTTGTTTCAATCAGAAAATATGTTGAAGAATAGTTTTAGTAAATTAGAACATGAACCACTTTTACTATTATTATTATCCATATACTAGATCTACTACTGATTGATATTATCAGAGATAATATAGTCCATTTAATAGCATAATAGCCTTCCATAGGTACACAGAGTAAAAATAAAAAATATTAATAAACAAACAAATTTTAACGGTTATTTTTCAAAGAAAAAATCTAATAATTTGCATGATAAAAATAAAGTTCGAATATATTAAGTTATATATTGCCATAAAAATTCTATAAAATAATTTTATGAAGAATGTGACAAGTTTCTATCACAGTCCTATAGTTACTTCTACAGAAGTTATAGAAAAAGTAAAAGTCTATTAGAATGAATGACTAATGGTTACTACCTTAATAGAATTCGACAGAAAAATATTTTGATATCTTAACTGTTTCTGTTTATATTTCAACAAATTTATATAAAATTTTGATTTTAGACTTGTTATTTAACAGCATTAAAACTATCGCTTTTTATATAATGATTAAAAGATTCATTTAAATAAATAAATTCCTTTTTTTTTGCAATTCATCTTTATATGATGAAAATCATTGGATTAAGATAACACAAAAAAAAAAAGAAAAGTCTATATTCAAATTTTATTCCAATATATAATAATTGATAGATAAAATCTTTAAGTTTGTTTTCTTTATCTATGCATATCTACAATAAAATGCATATAATTAATAATTGAGAAATGACTATTCAAATTACATCAATCATAAGAAAGACTAAAAATGTAATTAATTGTCAGTTTTCATAAGAAATCAATGATATGGATATGCTTTTTTTAGAATTATTTTATCATACATAAATTAATTATGATTTTATTTGAATTGAAATATCAAATTAAAATGATTATATTGAACTAATTATAACTGTCTCGTAAGAAAAGAAAATGAAACTAAAAATATACTATGATGTGTACTTTTCTTTTAAGTACTTTCATTCCTTTTCTTTTTTTTTGCTTTTTGTTACAGATGTGTTTATTTTTAGAAGAATAAACATTTAATATAATTAAAACTTTAAAATTGTTTTTTTATAAATTTATCACTTTTTCTTTCTTTTTTGCAGACATAAACAAAAACAAAAAAAAGTCAAGTATTTTCTAAAAATATTTTAGAACAAAGTAATCATTATTGACTATGAATTTTTCTCAAGAAAGGAAATCGTTATATTTTGTAATTCTATTTGAATAATGATAGTTTCCCTTGTGTAAAAAATAGTTGTAAATTAGACTAGTCGGAAATTCAAAGAATGAGAACTAAAAATATAAATAAGATTCACTGAGTTCCGATATTAAGAATAATATATTCTAGATCAATTGTTCTCTTTTCTTGATCGAACTACTATATCTATTTATAACCCAATAATCAACTTTTGAAAGAAAAAAGAAAAAAATATTGAAATGAGTACATCTCAATCTCAATGACGACTATTGACTATTAAAGAGAATTTCTATATTTTCGACAATGATCAAAAGTCAGACAAGTACAATATTTCAATC